GTGGGGTGATGGTATTTCCGCCCCCCTCTCAAAGATTGTCCTTTGTTGCTGATTCTCAGTGTCTGGAAAACTATTGTTTTATATATTTTGTGTGGTTTTGTGTGTGTGTGTGTGTGTGTGTGTGTGTGGTGGTTTCAGGCATTGAGGTAAATGAGGGCCTTGTTACTCCATCTTAACTGGAAGTAGAAATCCTCAGAAAGCATTTTAAGTGGCCTCCATATCTACCTAATCTACACATGCTATTCAGAGAACAACTTAATATAGGAACCTCTGTTTCTTGAGTGCCTTCTGTATGCCGGGCTCTCTGCTAGGTATATTCATACACAATTCATTCAAATGACATGTTTATTGAGCAGCTATTATGTGTCAAGAACTCTCCTAGGAGGTGAAAATACCTCATGGAATAAAACAGATTTTAGAAATCTCTGTCCCAGGATGCTTATCTTCTACTGGAGAAAGAGAACTTTAAAAATTAATCATTGAGTTAAATAGCATGTTAAATGGTAATAATTGCTATAGAAAAATAAAGAGCAGGTTAAGGGAGTTCAGGAGCGCTGGAGTGGAAATGAATGGTTGCCGTTTTAAATAGAATGGTCAGGGTAGACTTCTCTGAGAAGGTAAGACATTGGAGCAAAGACTTGAAGGAGGTAAGGGAACAAGCCACAGGGATATCTGGAGGAGGAACAGCCACACAGAGGAAGCAGCCAGTTTAAAGGCCCTAAGGCAGAGGTGGACGCCTGGTGTGTTCCAGAAATTATAAAGAGATCAGTGTTTCTAGAGCAAAGAGAGCAAGGGGGAGAGGACTAGGAGGTGAGGTCAGGGTAGTAACTGGCTTGCACAGGGCTTACACGTCACTGGAAAGACTTTGGCTTTTACTCTGAGTGGAGAGAGGAGCCATTACGAGGCAGAAAATAGAGAAGGCTCATGATTTGATATACATTTTTAAAGAATCACTCTGGCTGCTCCCTTGAGCAGCAACTGTGGGGTTACAGCAGGGAGACCAATTAGGAGACTATACAGTAATTCAGATGAGAGACGATGGTGGTTTAGACCAGAGTGGGAGCAGTGGAGATAGAGAAAAGTTGGATTTTGACATATTTCAGAAGTAGTACTAACGGTATTTCTTGGCATATTCAACGTGGCGTGTAAAAGAAAAGTAAGAGTCCAGGATATAGTGAAAGGTTTTGGCCTGAGCCGCTGGAAGGGTAGAGTTAACAAGACGAGAAAGACAGTGAATGAAATGAATTTGGGGAAAGATGATGAGGAATTAAATATTGGAGATAATAAGTTTGAGATGTCAATTCAAACATCCAAGTGGAAATATTAAAATAGCAAGTTGGATATATGAGAGGTGCGGGCTGGTAGGTCAAATAAAATAAAGACTAACAACTGAGCTGAATTTAGCGATGTGGAGATCTTTGGTAGGTCTGCAAGAACATTTTTGGTGGAATGTTGGGGGCAAATGCCTGATTGGGAGGAGAGGAATTGAAAATAGAGAGTTTAAACAACTTTTTCATGGAATTATGCTGCAGGGGAGGAATAGGGAAATGGAGCAATAACCAAAAGGGTGCGTGGAGTCAAGAGAGGATATTTTAAAAGGAGAAAATAATTGCATGTTTGAATACTGATGGAAATAATCCAGTAGAGAGGAAAGAATGGATAGCACAGGATAAAGAAGGGAGAATTGCTGGAGCTATGCCCTACAGGAGACCAAAGAGGGTGGCGCTAGTGTGTAAGAGGAGGTACTGGCTCTAGATAGGAGTATGGCTAATTCATCCATGATAAGAGGCAGGAAGGAGAGTATGTAGGTACAGATGCTGTGAGGAGTGTGAGTGTGGTGGTCGGAGTTTGGGGAAGTTCTCATCTGACTGCTGGAATTCTGATGGTAAAGTAGGCAGCAAGGTCATCAGCTGAAAGTAAGAACGAGGGAGGAAGTGTTAGAATTTTGAAAGAAGTGAAGATGGTGGAAAATAACAAGCTGGGAGATCAGGAGCATAAATGGACAAGGGAAATGGAAGTGTAACTGCCAGACATCAAGAATCCACTTGTGGTTCATGGTCATGAATTTAAAGCAAAGTCAGTCAGGATGCTTGTGTACTTTCTCCAACCACAGTCAGGTGCATGGATGCAGCCTTAGAGCAGGCAGAGAGCTGGATTTAACAAAGGTGAGGAAGTGAGAAAGGGCCAAGGGAGCGAAGGGTCTGTGCAAGGGAGTAATTAAGATGGTTGGCTACGGGACCCAAGCTGGGCAAGGAGGGAAGATAAACGTTAAGAAGAGGAACGGTGAGGTGGTGATAACACCAGCAGGTTGTAGGCCAGTAGGACTGGAGAATGGTTGGAATTAGAGTCTCCTCTGGAAGGGGTGAGCTGTGAAAGGTAGAGGGGCTGTCATGGTTGCAGTTATTGGTAGACAAGGACTAAGGGCAGGGCTGCTCCACGAAGAGGCCATGGGCTGGTACCAGTCTGTGAACAGAACGCTAGTGAGCTGCAGCGAGCTGAGTTCAGAAATTGAAGTGAATGTTTAGAAATATTACTGTAACATCCGAGCATATGCTCAGTGGACTTGTGTTTGGAATGTCTTTTCTTTTTAAATCTCACTTGTCTATTGACTTGTAATTGTATTTTACCAAAGTAACAGTCTGCCACAGATTGGTTATAAACAAACAAACAAAATCTGGTCCTTCCCCACGAAGCACTGCTCTAGTGTGTGTGAGTGAGTGTCTGAGGAGGGTGGAGGATTTGGAAGGACCAGCTCCTAGAATATCGAGATCACCAACATCTCTGGCCTTCCAAAGTAGAAGCCACCTGATTCCACCACTCTTGGCACCATTCTCATCATAGGCTGTGCGAAAGACACAACTCAGAATGCAGTGTGAATGATGCTCTGAGAATGTTTGAGAAGGTGGCCATCATCATCACTGTTTTACAAATGAGAAAACAGACTTAAGAGAGGTTACATAATTGCCCAAGTCCGCACAACTAGTCAGGGAAGGAACCAACATTTGAACTTAGGTATGCCTGCGACGCCAAAGCTGGACTCTATCCACAACACTCCTCCTTCTTTGTCACCTGCTTACAGTTATGGGGACAGCATAGCCATAAGCCTCGGGAAAACTAGGGGGAAATGCCTTTTGGGAATGTGTGGTGGTCCATGCGGCCAAGCTGAAAACCCCACTTTCTTTTAGAATCATGACTCATTACATCTGCTGTGGTAACCCACAAGTGATTGCCATCTAGACCCCTATCTCTCCAGTTTGTCTTTTTGAACCAAGAGGCTGAAGCACCTCAGGAATCCAATATTACCACAGGATTTCGTGCACTTTCTGTCCTGGTGCATTAGTAATGACAAATGCATTAGAAGCATCTTCTAAATAATGGTTCCCGAATGGTAAGATTATGAGTAATTTTACTACTTTGATTTTTTTCCCCAAATGTGTGCAGTGGAGACATTACTTTTATAATCTGAGAAGGTCTAGCATTGATCTATACTTTAAACCATCTTGTTCATGTAGAAACTAAGACTCAGGTCTCTGATGAGGGCTGAACAGGCCCGCTCTCTCACTGAGCCTGAGTCCCAGCTGCACCGGAAGCCTCAGCATTTCCAGAAGAGTTGGTGTTGATTACTTCCCACTCTCCCCAGGTGCGCGGAGTATTTGAGGAATCAATCCAAAAACAAAGTAGCGTTCATCCCTTAGGGGTTTCCTGGTTTCCTGGTTTCCTCTGTTTCTTGACTCTCCAGTGGGTCAGGGCAACTACAGCAAAACTACAGTTAATTTGTAAAGTTTGTCCATGTGCCACAGGACCTGTGAACAGAAGCGTAGTCCACTTCGTCTGTAAAGCCCTCCCTGGAGCTGAGTCTGTGTGCTTACATAACACCTAGGACACGGCATCAGAATTAGGGGCTTTCTGCTAGGCTGCCTCTGTGAAGGCATGGCCTGTAGGCCATCCCAGGGCCTGCCACGTAGAGGGCGGTCCTAAGGATGAGTCAAGGGAGTGAATGAACAACTGATGTTCAGTCTGCATAGGTATTTTCGTGGAGATGTGTTTAATCTTTTCTACTTTGAAAACTTCACTGGTGTGGATGTATATTAATGTATATGAAAAATAAGACTTCTTTTTATATTCAAATACATGACTTTTCACCCAGGGAAGATGTGGAAGAAATAAAGAACTCACCAAGATAAGCAAATACAACTGGACAGAGTAGGCTAGGCTCACTCAGTTTAGTTTTAAATAAGAATCAAAATAGATAATAGAAGCAGAAGTTTACTTTGAAAAATAATGCTGCAAATCAGAGTTGATGTGGTGGAACAAGGAGTCAGTAAAATAATATGGTAAAATGCTAATCATCCAAGTTATTAATTGAGAGTAACTTATAATCTCTGGTTGGTGCCATAGGCATAACTAGAATTTTCAAATACTTGTTTTTAATATGAGGTTTAAAACCTGATCCTCTTTTGGTGACAAAGTGTCAGGACAGGTGAATTTTAAAATGTACCTGAAAACTGAAAAATACCAAGTGAAAGTTTGGTATGCTTTTCTTCCATCTTGCCAAATTACTCACCTCATCCATAAGAAATGCAACCGACATGCCAGGCATTAAGTTTCACATCATTTTTTAAAATAAATTTGTATACCAGAAATAGGGAATACTTTGATTGCAGGATGTACCTCACTGATGTTAAGAATCTAGACTCATTCTGAGGACTGTGGTCAAGATAAGATATTCTTCCCTAGTTTGTCTACACAAACCTATAACAACTAGCAAGAGCTTAACTATTGTATTTGAATAGAGAATTCTCCCTCTTCTAGACTTGAAGGCTAAGTAAAATGTAGAACAGACAGTTACAGCCCTTTTTTTTTGTATTATGCCTTTTGATATAATTTGTATATACCTTTTAAATAATTTCAAGTGCCACAAAAAAATAATGTTAATAGCTCAAAAATCAAAAGTTAAAAAAACCCCTAAGTATAATTTTAAAAATCTTTTTCTCCTCAAGCGTTTTACGATGGGATAATGAGACAGATGTCTCTCAACTGGAAGGACATTTTGACATTGTTATGTGTGCTGACTGGTAAGTACATAAAAATCATAAAACTCCTGTTAGAAAAAAATAGCTTTGCTGGAGTGATTGGGCTGTGCTGCTTTGCTGACGGCGAGGCAAAGTCAACAAATGAGGCACAAAGCCGCCTTAACCTCAACAAATTAATATTCATCTCCATGTGACAGTTATAAGGTAGTCTTCTATCACACAGTAACTTCTACCACATTATTTCCCAAAGATTGATTTTGAGAAGCATTTCCATTTTCTGGAATTGCCTCTGTTTCATGCTTGACGTATCAGTAAATGGACGACTTAGGCAAATTGCAAATAATTATGGCTCGGAGAGGAGTAGTCTGGAGAAAAAGGAGTTTATCAACACAAACAGCTCAATTAGCTTACTTCTTAGGAGAGATCTGACTATTGATATAAGGGAATATGTGTGTGTGTGTGTGTGTGTGTGTGTGTACACATACATGCTCCAGCATATAAACATATCTGTGGACTATCTTTAGGGAAATAGCTTTTCTTAAAATGTATATTTGCTATCTGGTATTTTCAGTGTCTTCAATTATGATATTTAATTATACATAAAGCAGGAATTATAAAATTACATTTTATTGTTATGCAAATAATAATATTGAAATCTCTGTCAGGTGCCTGCCTTTTAAAAATAATTTACATGAGATGTTTGGTCTTCTCTTTTAGCCTGATCTACTTATGGTTAATGAAAGTCTGATCCTAAGTTACAGGATAAATATGTATCAAACCTTAATAATTATTTCAGCTAATCTTATGTATTTTCTTCATGTGTTGAATAGTAATTATTTTAGCATATGGGAAATATAGACCATTCACAAGTATTTTTCCTGTTAAGAGTAAGATCTTATTTGTAGTTTTATCATGATTTTTTTAAATGACACTATAGACTTGAAAACACAAGTTCAGATTCTGAAGAAGTTCTATTATACTGATAAACCCAAACATAAGATCCAGAACCTAGAGACAACTTTCTCTATCCGAGAGTTGAATGAATAGAATGAAATTTTCAGGAAGTTTTTTTTTTTAATCATTATTTAATAAGATTTTCAGTGGGTAACTTTCTACCTAAGCCAATGGAATTAGATTTGCTTTCTGTTTTCCCCTGGAAAATACTTCTCAGTGAAAAAGAAATATTTTCTTCAACTTTTAGTTGTGATTTTCCAGTTTTTCATGGCTGTTTTAGTCTCTCTGCAGAGAAAACCTTTTTACAAAAAAAAGAGAGAGATGGATTTCTGACTAATCACTGATATTGTGTCTCAATATGACATCCCTCATCTAATCAAAAATAAGGAGCTAAAACCTCACCATATGATTTGAGCAAGTAATTTAGTAAATGCCTTTCCTCACCAAATATGAGAAAGGATCCTCCAGGTTTCATTGCACAGATGAAGATAATGCTGGCAGGATTAGATCAGATTAAGCATGAAAGTCAGATCAGAGAGCAGTGGAAAGAGGGAAGGAGGGCAGAATCTTCTCGGAGCTTCAGACAAGGGTCGCACACGGATGGACTCTGATTATGTGGGGAGAGTCAGGTCTGGCCAAGAGATTTAGAGATAAATTTGTCCTCTGCACAAATATCAAAACAGCCTAGCTTTGTCATACCTTGTGTTATGGACACTCACACCATGTCATCCTATTTGTACCAGAGCGACAAGCAGAGGAAGTAAGATTTAAGCTCTTTTCTGATTAATGTTCTCAGTTAGGGTAAAAATAGCCACACAAAATGTTTGAAAAATAGTCTTTTCTCCCCGAGCCAACAACAGGATCTCATACAACTGATATACATAATGCATATTCAGTTAAGGCTTTCATTACAAATACATAATGTAATAGTACAATGTTCTTTGTACACACCCCCCATACACACACACACACACACACACGCACACGCACACACACACACACACACATCTAGTTGCTATTGGGAATGTATATATTCAAATGAACTAAATACACCAAGTTTCATTTTATAAATGGCTTTTCTGTGCATGAATTGTTAAGTTTTTTTCCCCCCTGGTGTTGTAAGTTCCAGACCGTCAGCCTGTTTATAATTTCCCATTTGTAAGTGGGAAACATTAAGCTACTCTCACTGTGATGCTGATATTATTTCCAGAAGAAATGCTTTGGTAATGGTCTGTCTTCAGATTCACAGGGATGGGGTAAGCTGTTTAGAAACTTAGAAAGTACAGTGATGTTCATAGTAAACATGTTGTGTGTAGAGCAGGGAAGTTCAGGATGCCACGAGTTCTTTGTGTCCTGTAGGACTGGTGTTTCTCTGTCAGAGTTATCGCACGCACGGATGCTGCTCCTGGGGCAGGCAGGCAAGCAGACCATGCGGCTTTTTTTTTTTTTTCTCACGAATGTCACAGAGGAGGAGAAGAAAGCTCTCTTTAGACACTACCTCCAAGATGAAACCTGAAATACTCAGTGCCAGTGGAAATAGGTGCCACACATAAATAGATCACGTTAAGTCTCACAGCATCCTTTAGTCATTGTCAGTCAATGAGATCTGGATTAGGCCATAGGAATATGAAGCAGGAGTCGGAGTTCAAATATTAGGTACATGGATTAAATTCTTACTGAAGCATTTCCAGCAAGGGTGGCATTGTCTGATTCCCTGAATAGCTAACCAGTGGTACTGCTTGATCCCATTTACATGAAAACAAGCTCTATTCACAAACCTATTCCAAACCCACATTGTGGTTCAAGTAAAATGCACATGATTACAACAGGCGGGGATATGTTTATGTTTTTAAATCATTCATATATTCATATATTTACATTCAAACATTCATACTCCTGTAGGCAATGGGGGAAATAACTTATCTCCCAGAAGAGACAGTTTCTTAGCTCACATCTAAATTTAGTAGCTCAGCTAGATTATAAAATAAAGAGGCAAACTGAAAGCTAGTCATTATTTCACCATTCAGCATTTTTGACAATGAAATATAGTTTCATGGTTCACCAGTTCCTAAGTAACTTGTAAAATGTCAACTTTGAAATAAACAGAAGGAAAAATCAAGGTACAGTCATACCTGCAAAAGGATGCTGTTGACAAACATCAAAATATTAGCATATTTAACCGCAGATGTAGGAAAAAAAAAAAAACCTGCCTATTAAGTTCTTTGGTTGACTTGTTTCATGTTGAATTTAATATGAGTTCCTTTCTGCTGAAATGCAGTCCAGCCTGGTCCTTGCTGAGTTTAGACTAGTGAGTGATTGTTAATTTTAAGCCTGCCTTTCCAGACTCCTGTTCAGTCACAATAATCTGAGAGTCTGGAAGTAAGATGTTTTTTATCCAATGAACACTTTCATTCAGTGTTTGATGGCTTTCCAGTTTACTGTAGCTCTGCAAAAATAAAAATGAGTCTGTGAATTTGAAAAAAAAAAAAGAAATAATGAAAGATTCTGTACATCTGGATTCTCTAAAGGCTTGGAAAGCAAGTCTGAAATGCCACCCGTAGCCAGACACACCTGCAGCCTGAGACTTGGGGAAGAAGGGGGGGAAGTTATATCACCTCACCTCCTCTTACAGCATTTTTTCACTAACTATATACAGTGGATTGATTCTGTTTTCTATCATTTTTACTTTCAATGATGAAAAAAGTTTGGGTTTGGTGAAAAAAAAATTTTTTTCTCAAATAGGCTCTAGAACTTCTTTTTCTTCCAGATACTGTGATCATAGATAGTTCTGAATCATGGCTCACAGACCTTTCCACCTGAAAGGATCTTTAACCCGAATGTAGTCAGCCCTCTTGCCTCACAATACCTGAAGAAACCCGGTCCCAGAGAAGACAGACCGATTGCCAAGATCTCACACCTATGGGGTGGCACCAAGTGAGATCAGAATAAGGCTCCCCCAGCAATCAGTTGATAAAAACTGTTATAGGCCATTCATCTGCTGAAAGTTACATCTAAAACAGTGAGTTTGAGCACATTTCACCTTGAAAACTACAGAGAGGTCTTCCTCTCTGTGGATACTGACCGAAATGTCTCCTTGTTCTCTGCACTAATTAATTTCCCAGTGAGAGGAGTGGTAGCTGCTCTGTACTCTGCAGAAAACCCTGACTGCTTCTAAGGAGGTGATGAAAATGGCCTGGCACCTTTCCTTTGTCGTACAATCTGTGATTCAGATCAGTGGAACAAAATAAGCGTTGATTCCACAAGTGAATTACATAGAGGGGTGTGTGTGTGTGTGTATTTAATGGCCAAACTAGACTGACTGTCGATGTATTTTGATCAGTAACTGAAGGGAGAGTTGAAACAGTATCTCCATCCCAATCACTGACCCACTCGGCCTTTTTTAATAGATCCACTTAAGCTACTGCTGTTCTCTGAGCCCATTAGGACTTATTTAAGGGGTGAATTTTCAGGAGATTATATATCACTCCCACTACAGCACAGTGAAATTGCTCATAGGATGGATCCTACAAAGCGTTATAATTCTGCACCAGAGCTTCTGCAAGGTGAGCTTGCTTGGAATAAAAACCTATTAGAGAGCTACAAGAATCACTTTGGGGAAATTTGATTTGAAGTGATGGAGTAGACAGCATTAGCTTTCAAATAACTGTTTTGAATGTGTACTGTGTATTAAGCTGCATTTTCTAGTGAGCTGTGATGTTAAGATCTTGGTCACCATTGTCAACATTAAGTAGAAATAGTACTTTATAAGGTGATGCTTTAAACTCAGCTTTTACATTGTTGTTTATTTCTAACAATCTTACCAGCTCTTAGGATGCCCAGGTATAAACTGAGAATATATCCCAACCATCACTTGGGTCCCATAGACCCAAGTAACTGACAGAGATATTTCTCACAGAGATAGTCTCCTTTAACAAAATAGAATGCTTCATTACAAAATTTAAGACATTACCTCACTAAAGAGTAAGATACATAGTCCCAAAGAGAAAATTTTAGAACACTTAAATACAATTTGATTCCTTTCTTATCAGTCCTTACTGGTTATTAACCACTGATTAATATGACTAAAAGTCACCTTTTTGTAACGTTCAAATTAAACACATTCTGTGCTCTGAGATTTTAGTACCCGGTCTTATGGAACAATAAGAAATTTTCCCCTGGGCAATAATCAGGTTATCCTGATTGATGGATGGGTTCCCATTCTAGACATAATTTCTAGCTCACCTTAAGCAGATTCTTTTTCCATTGCTCTAAGCAGCGTTTTATAGAAGAAACTTCCACTAAGTATGTCATGGTGAAACCCAAGCACTGAGTTCTTGGAAACATTTCATAAGCCGCTCTCCCCACTCCTCTTAAGTAAGAGAATTAGGAGAGAACCTGGTCTGATGAAACATCCTACCTAAATGCAGATTCCTCCTCAGCCAGACCAGTGAAATAGCGCGATCATCCTGTTTTGGAGGCACTGAAACTCACCCTACATAAGCGCCGCCGTTTCACGGACTGTGTTGATCTGCCGGTTAGGCAGTGAGTAAATATTTATTGAGCACCTTCCCCGTGTGCGCTGGGCTAGAACTCGTGATGCAGCGATGGATACAGACAGAAGCTCCCTGAGGATGGGGATGTTGTCTTATTCACAGCTTATCTCCAAGGCCCAAACAGTCCCTAGTATGTAACAGGTCATCAACCAGTGTCTGTCAGCTCACTTTTGTCATTCATTTGGTGCCCACCACAGCCACACAGGTGGGTCTTTATTGACAACGAAGCTGAGGCCTCATGTGAAGTGGCGTGCCCAGGGTCACATGCAGAAAGGTCGGAGCCAGGCCCTAGGAAACCTTGAACTATGCTCTCCCTTTGCCTGAAGTGTGGCTCCACACAGCTGTGCTCCTACTGATGGCCAATACTCAGCTCTAGCTCGGAGAAGGATGAGGCAGGGCCCATGCTGTGTGAGGAGCGGGGAGGCCAAATCAGAGGAGCCCACACCAAACTACAGTGTTAGAAATGGGAGTAGGGGCTTTGCTCAGGCCCCTCATGAGATGGCTGGGGCACAAGGCCGCCCAGTGTTCTAGCCTGCAAGTCCCAGGTAAGGAAACTCTGTCCCAAGCTTCCAAATAAGGCCTGGGTCAGACTGACCCAGCCAAAGAGATGACAGAGCAGCAAGATAAATTCTCAAACCAGAAAAGACAAATGAAAAATCACATGGACTGGGAAAAAAAAAAAATCAACATGGAGATCAAGGGGCGGGGGCGGAATCCAGAGTTGCCATGGTCTCTGGGTCACATCGCCTAAACCTGGTCTTTGCTTACTCGTGGGTCACTGGTTGAACCTAACCTCAGTGCTGTTGCTGGTCACTGAAAACCATCACCACCTGAGATCTGCTGCGTGAGTTGGGTGTGATAGGGCTGGAGGTTTGTTTTTGGAAGGTGGCCTCACAGCACTCTCAGTAACAAGTATTGGGAGGGCTTCGTCTCAACCAGATGATTCCCCCAAACAGCAGCTTAGGAACTGTCCCTTTCACACTGACACGCGGCCCAGTCGTGTGTGACCCCTGGCCCATCGCAGGTTGATGACTTGACTTTGATTGGATAACACTGAGCACAGTATCTATTATGATTATTATTATTCTAGTGAGATACTTGAATGGAAGGAAACAATTTCTCTTTTTTAGTGTCAAGTAAACATGTGTAATTAGCCTTGTTCTTATCTCCATTAGTATCATTAGACTTGAAAACCCAGTTTAATCTGGATTCTGCTCTATTCTCAATGTCAGCCTGTTTCTGGACCAGTACAGAGCCAGCCTTGTTGATGCAATAAAGAGATTACTCCAGCCCAGGGTAAGTATGTTTCTATTTTCTCCTGAACACTGGCTTCAGAATAATTAGTCTGTGCACAAAGATGCAGAGAGTAATGGAATGGCAGGATTAATGTCATGTAATACTTTAATACTTATTATGTCCAACTTCAATTGAGTCTTCTGATCTATCAGGTTCTTTCCTAATCATAACTAGGGAACTTCTTACCCTTGGCCTTCTGATAAGGAACACAGTGGGTAGTAAAATAAATGAAACTGCTTCAAAGATAGTGTGAGATTATTTTTATCAAAGAATTTCTTGAGTCTTTTCCTTTGATAACAATATCTTCATATTAAAGTAGAAGTATGATATTGAAAGTTTTCTGTTGACTTCTGTCATTTTAAATCCCTTCAATGGTAACCTTTGTCACTGGGTATTTATTTATTGCCACAGAATATTTTTTTCTTTTTATTTCTGTTTGTGTTACAGAAAAGGGACTTCAGAGGAATCTGTGTATTAAAAGTCCTTTGCTTTAAAAGGAAGCCATTATTTACATATTATAAACATTAGGTCACAATGAAGCTAAGCATGGCATAAAACATTGTGCACATTTTTACATTTATATATCCATTTATGCCTGTGAGTAAATTACAGAGTTTGTATCCACTCTTATTTTGTTGGACTGTTATACTAAGCTAGGCGGTCCTGCAGCCTAAACGGAGAGTTAATATACATCTATTTAAAGTAAGAAAACAAGTTTAAAGCTCATGCATTAAAAAAAGATCTTGTAAGTATGTAAGACTCTTGCTGTGCTGTAAGAATTGAAAATCAGTTAACAGTGTTAATGTAGCCTAAGACAGGAGCTCAAGAAAGGACTGCAGTGTGCGCATGTGTGTGAAGTATTTTCTAAAGTTGTTTCTAAAGTCTTTTTAAAAAAAGATTTGCTCTAGTCTTCTGACCTCAGTGAGACTTACAGACTAATACCTTTCAATCTTTCTTTTATATCGTTTTCACATTGCAGGTTCTCTGAGCGATTTGATAATCATCCTTTGCCTTACACTGTTGCTTTTTATTTTGTTATCTCTATATAGCTCAGAAACTTTCAATAGGCCTCTCAGAGGAGTAACCACAGCTTTGTAAGTGGTAATCAATTAAATTAAATTGGCCTTCTCAATTCCCCCTGTGAGGTGGGTCTTGAGGCAAGGAAGGGGCGTGCTCCAAGCTAGTGGTGGCAGCTGTCATGGTTGAGTGAGCATGACTTCAATTTAAGGGTAGAAGAAAAGTGGGGGCCCTTTCATCCCCCCATTAGCTTTGGGTGGTTCTTGTGAGCACTTGCAAGATCAGGATTTTCAGAGAGGGCACTGAGATTCCTGGATGTGAAGGCTTCTACGAACATCTACTACACAGAAATACAGTGCTTTCAAGGACACCTGGATCTCCCACTGCACAAACAGTACGTCACTCATCACCAACATCCCTACTCCATTTTGCAGCAGATTTGCATGATTTGCGTAGAAAACTGCCCAAGCTATGCATAGACCTAAGTGCAGATTAGACTGGAATGTCTGACAGCTCTCCTGTACCCTCTATAAACTCAGGACACACTCCTCGTCGTCTGAAGTGCGGCTCCACATAGCGGCCCTCTCTGAGGATGGCAGCCTCCCTACTGACAGCTGATACTCGCCCTCAGCTCAGAGAAGGATGAGCCAGCGCCCTGGAGTCAGCAGCACATACTCCTGCTCTGTGAGGTGTGGGGAGGCCAAACCAGAGCGGCCTACATCAAGGTGCAACATTAGAAATGAGAGTAGGGGGCCTCGCTTAGACCCCTGATGTCCTGCAGCCCTGCTCAGACTGCCAGGTGCTCTAGCCTAAAGGGTCGGGTGCCTACCAGAAGTAGGGGAGATCCCAGTTGTGGGTGGCATATGGACATACAGAAATTCCTATCCAGGAATCTCATCCCCACTGGGAGGTCTGGGGGCACAGGGCATTTACATTCCCTGGGGCTCCACAAGGTGGACCCTAGAAGGATCACGTGGACTTAGCAGTGAACAAAGCAGCTCCATATCCCATGCCAGTGGGTTGGAAGGGTTCCCAGGGCTTGGGAGCAACCAGAGGAATAACTGAGCTCTTCTTCTTAGCTGTCAGGGCGGCTGTCCTGCTTCCAAAGGATCTCCTCCTGCTGTCACAGTCCCAGACTAAGATAACATTAAAGGTTTTATTCCATTACAATGAGAGCTGCTTTTAATGTTTCTTGGAGCCCAGACAAAATTTCCATGGCTTTGTGGCCCAGAGGCTGAAGGCCCCTAAGAGGCCTACAGAGAAACAATGTGAGCAGCTGCACTGGTGGATCCTGAGTTCCTGGTAATTCAAGGCTCAGCAGATTCAATGGGAGAGGCAGCAGATTCTCAGGATGCTCAGAAAAAACTGCACTTTGGCCCAATGCTTCCAGTTACCCAGTTTCTGAAGGTAAACTATACTGAGTTGGGTCAGAAAATACCTACATACAAAACCCAAGTCTCTTCTGACCATCTAGCCACTTTCTGAATTCATCATCCCTTGAAGCTTCAGTTTTTCATCTGGAAAATGAGGAGTAAACAAGCCAACACACTGGAAAGCTTTAGCCCAGGACTGGCTCTGAATATGTATGTTAGCACTTATTACCTTGAAGAACTAGAGACACTTTGGGGCTGTGATGAGTATAGAATATAGGGGGATCTTTCCAAAAATTTGCCTCTGAGAATTGCTGGTGGGAGGAAGAGAAAGAACATGTTCTTGACCTGGACTTGGACGCTTTCTATACATAACTGTTCCTGCTGCGTCTCTCCTGCACCCGTGTCCCACGTACCTGCCGCAGGCCCTGCAGTCCAGAGGACTGTCTGCCTGGTTGAAGATGACACTTTTTTCTACAGACACCTCCACCAGCAAGGGGAGAGAAATTACTACTAGGTGGCAAGAATGAAGTCATTGTAATACGAAGGTTCAAAGGTCAAGCTGTGGAAAGCAGCAGATTCTGCTGTCATTGGGGAGTGTGGGTCCTGGATTTCTAGCTAAGGCAGATGTGCTGAGTGGAGACAGAGGATCCAGAAGCAAAGAAAGTAGATGGAGAGGAGGAGTTTCCCTGCTTTTCAGTTTTTATAAAGGGGATCATGAGTGAGCGGGGCACAGGCCCCAAGAGATAGCTTAGTCACCAGGGTAGGTTCCTGGCTTGGCTGAGGGGCAGTGTCAAATCCCAAGACTGAGCCTCAGTCCTCAGATAAACAGGCACCTCTGCCTGGAAAGTCATTACCGGAAGCCCCAAATAGCAGCAGGAAATGATCGTTACCTGTTCCAGGTAGAAACTTCCCTGAACTTACTGGTTGAGAGAAACTGTAAAAACATTTGACTCCTGCCAGAAGCCTACTAGGGACTCCCCAGCAAACTTAAAAGGTGAAAAGATCAGATCTTAAAAAGGAATGAAATCAGCAAATTTTACTCATTCCCAGAAGCAACACGTCCCTCCCCACCCACACCTTTCTCCCTCCAGGGAGTGACTTCTTGCTGCTGATGAGTCATCAGTGACCCCCTAATTGTTGTGTTCTTTTAAAATACAGCTACAGCAGCCTAGAAGTTGAACGTTAGTCCGGAAATGACAGCCGACACATGACACCTACTAATATTCCTCTGATGGCTTTGGGCTCAGGGAGGGGAGCCAAACCAGTCAGACAGGATGAGTGTACTCAGGACTGTGTGGAGATGGATGGGGAAGTGATACTGACAGCTCTCCAGCTTGCTAATGCTGCTAACCGATTGTCAAGAATTCAAAAATATCATTGTAGGATTCATTTAACCTTCTTTAGAAGCTGGCCCTCAGTAACCGCCAAATTCCTGGAGTCCTGACTACAAGCAGCGCTAAAAATGTAAATCATGAAGTCTCATTTCAGAAGAGCGGTTTCTTTTTACCAACAGATTTCCTTCATTTCCTCTTTTTTTTAATCTACCATCTCTGCACCCGTCTGTACAAACCTCTGTTCTTGCTTATCTCAGGGAAATACCTGGTGAGTTTGGGCGCAGTGGCATGACCTGAGGTGGTGCCGAAAGACCCTTGGGTTCCACTCTGCTTGCTGGGCCAGAGGCCCAACAAATCCTCCCTTGTTCTTAGTGAGAAGCTGCATTGGGCCAAACCTGGCTCTCAGGAACAGAGTCCCCAGACGGTTTTTAAGACCCTCGGAGCAGGAGCCCCACCCTTAGAAGTTCTTTCCGGAAGCCCACCCAGGTGTTCATTCAGTGTTTCCAGCGTGGAATCTCTGCCCCTGAGGAACTGATAATGTGGTCGTGGAGATGTAACACACACACAGGGGGAACTCCAGTGGATGGTGCAAAATGGCTTATAAGAGCCCCGCCCTTGATCACAGAGAGCCTGGTGCTGTTTTTATTTGTTTTGTGAATCTTTCTGATTTACACCTTCATTAGAATGTGAGGTACTCAAAGGTCAGGACTCAGTCTTGATTTAACAAACATTTGTTGAGTAACTACTCTCTGCCTGGCACTGCGCTGGAGAACATGGGGGATTAACAGGAATAAAGGGCATTGTGCGACTTGCACTGTGTAGCAGGAAGGCTAATGCAACATGGCGGGTACCAGGGATATAGCACAAAGACTGACTAACTGCCTGAGGATGGTTTCCCTAGAAGCAGTGCTATGTGACTTTGGTCTGGAATGGTAAGAAGGGCATCAGAGGAAGGGGACTGGAAAGGAGCCTCCCTGGTGGAGCAACAGTACGCACAGGTGGTGAGTACGAAGAAACATGTTATGTTTGGGATCAAGCAGGAGTTTGCTCTGGCTGGAGTGTAAGAGTGCTGTGTGGTTAGGGTTTAGGGTTGAGGAGGGTCAGGAGATGAGGTTACAGAGTTCGTTCGGGGTGCCACATTATGAAAGGCTGAGAACACGATGATGGAGAGACTGGACTTCATTATGTGGGTGACAGAGAGCCATTGGTAGAGTTTGAGCCTTGATGTGGTCAGATGTGGGTTCTAGAAAGATCACTCTGGCTGGCAAAAAAAAAAAAAAGCTGGTTTGGAATAAGAGAGTGTTTGAAAGTAAGAAGGCTCTTTGTGGGTCGCCCGTGGACCAATGTCTACTTAGAATTGTTCAGTTAGGAGCTAGTGCAGACCTAAAGATGGAGAAGAGGGAATGGAATGGGTGCTCACTGAGAGGTTCATTCAGCATTTATTGAGTGCCCACCTAGGGAAAGAGTCAAATAATCCTGCCCCAAAGGACCGCACAGTCCAGCGTGAGAGACAAGCAAGCTGGCAGTTATCTGCTAGTGAGTTCAGGACATCGCAGTGGAAAGGGCTAACTGGGGCAGGAGGCACAGGGTGGAGCAGAGGAGGTCATTCAAGGCGTCAAGGGGCAGGGCATGTTATCCAAGTGCTGAAGGATGAGTTAAGAGTTTACCAGGTAGACAAAGAACTGGAGATAAGAGAAGCATGCCACCCAAAGGGAAAGTGTGCGTGTGTAAAGACACGTGCGGTCCCTGGAAGAACAAATCAGGGGACTGCACTGAGTTTGGACTAGAGCCCCAGCTGAGTACAAGGGAGGGACGGAAACAAGGCTGCAGAGATAGACGTGGCTCAGGTCACAGTGGACTTTGCCTGCCATCCCCAAAAGGTGGAACCCACGTCATTGGTTTCCAAGCCCTGTTTAAATGGCAGAACCCTTTGGTCAAAATATTTTTAGCCAGCACCCCAATTATAAAACAGACAAAAGTGAGGCAGCTTTAATTAAATTGGACGTGAGAAGCTTGGTCTCCCTTTTACCCCTCCAGGCCACCCTTGAAGCCATACGAACACAGTTTAAGAGCCACATGCAGCAGATGACAGAGATGGGGGTGCCGGGGTGTGGCATTCAAGGGTTTTAAAAGGCAATGCCATGATTTCCTGGTTTCCAGTTTCATTCTGAAGGTGAAAGGTATGGAAGTGCTTGGTACTTAGTGGGTACTCAGCTGTGTGTGTGTGTGTATGTGAGAGAGAGAGAGACAGGGAGAGAAGGAGAGAGATAGATGGGTGGGTAGTGCCCTGGAAAGGGTAATGGTTTGGGCAAGGATATTGAATTCCATTTTAGACAGACTGGGTTAAAGGTACTTTCAAAACATCCCCATGGAGAGACCTAGTAGGCACCTGAAAATCTGCATGTGGACCCTGGACAATGGTGAATGCTGCAGTTTTGTACTTGAGAGTTTTTGATGCATAAGTGATAGCTGAAGTTGTAGATCTCAGTACAATTGCCTAGAACTGCATAGAACATGAAGAAAAAGGAGGCAGAGCCCTGGGGACCACTGACAATGAAAGGGCACGTGGAAAAGAGAAGCCAGGGTCGGGCATCTCAGAAACCAGGCAAAGAAATGGTCAGAAAATAACCATAAACTTAAGCTTGTAATCAGTATTTCATAGTTGACCACCTAGAAATGGAAAAATAATAAAGGTATTTCTTTGGCATAGCATAAATCTGAAGTAAAATAAATCTGAAGAATACTTATTTTTTCCAGAAACACACATCCTTTAATACATGAGTATAGATTAGCCTAGCAAAATAACCACAACTGAGCTTACAATGTAAACAATATCATTGTTGTTTTGTGAAACTACTTCTCTCTTCTCTCCAGGGATAAACAACTCTCAAATTTCTGCTCATCAGTCAAAATTTTACATTCAATTGAGTGTTCATTCTGAGTTTAAAATAATTCTGTGACTGTGAATGCTTAGAAAGTTGTGCTTTGGTAAATTGAAAATAATTTTTCTAAAGTGATGGGCTAATTTGGAATCTATATTCTTGTTCTTGTTTTGATTTTTGCAGCCGAAATTGTAAGGAGTATTCCTCTGACTGTACCAAAGAGTCCTGCTCCACTGGGGGTATGGGGGGTGGGTGTGGGGCTTCTTAAACCATTCATTATGGGGCGGATGCTGGCACTCAGTAGGGCTCAGTGGATGCTTATTGACTGAATGGATGATGTACTATTGTCCCTCCTAAATATTAATCCACATCTCAAAGATGTCTGCATTCAATGAAATGAAAAAAAACATTTTAAAATTCATAACTGAGTAATTAGAGATTAAAACTACCGCTCGCTCTTTCTCGTGGGGACAGTATTGTACGCAGAAAGCTGCCCTCTGAAATCCCATTATAGCCACTGACTCTGTAAAAGCTACTTGGAGAGAATCTTTTCTAAAGAATAAGCAATAAAACGTGGCCTTCGAATTCCCAGAGACTTGACTTTTTCGGATTATTCAACATCTGGATTTAGTTTATTCTCTCAACAAAAATTGACTGTCTGCCCTCTGCTAGGCACTGGGAAAATGCAGTGAATAAAACATTAGAAGGTCCTGTTGTCTTGAAGTGTACATTCTAGCCAGAGGAGATGGGCAGTAGCAAACAAGGATATGATGTGTGTCCGTGGTGATGAGGGCTAAGGTCAAAACTAGAGCAGGGAGGAAGGGTAGGGAGTGCAGGGGGAAGGGCTGCTGGTTTAGGGGTGGTGGGTGGGGAAGGACAAGGAAACTGAGACATATGCTCAGTTCAGTCCCCTTACAGCTCACGCCAACCAATAGGAGGCTGGGATTTGTATCTTGTGAATGCAAACATCAACCCACCCAACAACCCCGGAGTCCTGAAAACATTACATTACGGTATATAGTTTGGATAACAGCTGTTAAAAATCAACCCTTCGATTTTAACAGTAAGACGATTTTGCAGGTGACTCTAAAAGAAAACAACTTCCATTATTCAGAAATCTGGAATAGCAACCAGCTCTTAGAAAGAACTAAAATGACCTACTAGTGTTCCCTCTTTTTTTTTTTTTTAGTGGAGACTTTTGCTCTCCTGCTGAGACCACATATTATATCTAGTTTCACATCAAAATGAATTTTTGCTGCTAAGTTTGAAAACCGCCTGAAAATAGCAATTAATATTGGAAAAGCTGACAGAACCTTAAGTGTAGTGGCGTGATTGGTGCTGGTATAATTATGTGCCTGGGTGTATACACATCTATGTAAACACAGTATGAAAACACACTTGATGTTCAGGACAGTTGATCAGTGTATTTCCTTGCAGCTAAATGAGGGGAAGAGACTGAGAAGGAGAGGGAACTGGTAGGATTTTATAGCACTGGTAGGTGGCATAGATGCTTTTAGTCTTACATCTGTATGAGCTTGTGTTTTCAAATTATTTCCACTTTCATTACCTCACTGGATCCTCACGACGTGCTGGCGGAGGAGAAGGCAAGGGGGGCTTTGTTCTTCCCATTTAATGGATGAGAAAACTCAGTGGGTCAGGCTAGGAAAACTGGAATTTCTTCTCTGAAAAATGAGGAGATTGGACTAACATCATCTCCCAGGTCCCTTCTAGGTCAACAGTTCTATGACTCTTTTCTTCTGATTTTCCTAAGGTGACACTACTGTTTAATGGTGGAGATCTCCTTTAAGTCCAGACTCTTTTCTGCCACACAGCTCCTCCTTATAGACTTCAAACCCTTCACAGCATGTTTAATCATCTGTAGGATGCAGTGTCTACCGTACAAAGTTGTTGAGGGGATTAAAGGGAAGGCTCGTGGAGTACCTAGGAAAGTGGTAGCTATTATTATTATTATTGTCATCACTGTGACTCATAAGAAGAGCGTTGGCACTGAAGTCAGGTAAATTTCCCATCATTCACTGGTTTGTCATCTTGGCCAATGATTCAACCTTTCTGAGCATCCTGAAAAATGGAGCTGAAAATCCCTATCTTGAGTTTGAGGGAAGTTTGAGGACTAGAGGAGATGAGATATAGAGACCACCTAGCTCCATGCCTGCCACATCCCAAAGGCTCAATTAACGGTTGGCAGGTATGAATGATGAACCCCACCTTTCAAAAGAAACTGGGATATAGTTTCTTGATTCCCTCAAAACCTGAAGTGGTATTTCATAGAGGTGAAGTGTAACCCTGAAATTAACAGAAGCATACAGTCATCTTTTAAACAAATAAAAGGAAAAGAAGATTCTGAAGTTGAGCCATTGTGTGCACATCTATAAGGGAGGAGAAAAATCCACATGCACCCAGGAGTTAGCAAATGGTCGTTGTGGAATTTCATGTCAGAGGGCTTTCTGAAATCCGGTGTATATTTCATTCAAGTCCTCCCACTCTCCCCACTGCAACAATCAGATGAGGCTGTACAGTTTCTCTAGACAAGCTTGTTTGCCCTCATTATACCACTTGCTTTGCAAAGGAATCACTTGAATACCGTGAGGAGGTGCTTTGCCATAATGATGCCCCTCATGAAGGATTCAATGAAGTTGGAAATCAGGATCCTGTAGCTCTGTCTCTGACAGCATGGTCACGGAAAAGGCTGGTGGCAGAACTGAGTGGACTGTGGTTACTTGTCTCTGTGGAGGATTTCTGGGCACTGAGTTTCCAGGGCACAATAAACGAACATTTATAGGCATCCTTGGCCACATGCTCTGGAGCTGTGTGGCAGATTTGTTGGCAGCTGCTAAGGAGTCGCAAGGTGGGTGGCACTGCCCTGGACCAGTTATTCTAAAATCTAGTGGATGCTTTAAACCACTAGACCCAAGAGAGGTGTGTATGGTACAGAATACCAGTGTTGGGTCACGTATTGTTTATTACATGCATTGTTTGAAGATGGTAAAATATAGCAACTGGCCACTTAAATATGAAATAGATTTTTTTCTTATTTGATGTATATCTATCCCTGAAATTCTCAGCACGAATGCCCATCCTGTGTGGACGTCTCAAGAACAACTGAGTTTTCTACCTGAGAGCAGTACATGGAATGCTCTGACCAATGTCTGTTACGTTTGGTTGCCTTCCAGCTTTCCAATGTGTGAATTTCCTTTTTAATGTTCCAGGGGAAAGCAGTGGTGTTCGCCCCACGTCGAGGGACTACTTTAAACCAGTTTTGCAATCTAGCTGAAAAAGCTGGCTTCTCTATCCAAAGACATGAAAATTATGATGAACACATTTCAAACTTCCACTCCAAGGTTAGTTTTCTGCTTGTGTTAGATAACACTTTAATCCGCATTGCATTTTGAAGAGATCATGGTCTTTTTGGCAGGTAACCTAAATATTTGATTAAAGGACTCCTTAGGTGTGCTGCTTCTGAACAACTATTTGTATCTGATTATTTTGTGTGGCAAAGCCATCTTTTATCTTTGCATGTCTAGAAGGATTTTACAGAAACCATTCCTGTTTACTCCTTTCTCTGAAACAAACTAATCTTTCCATTCATAATAGACTAATTTGTAGGATGCAGGGGAGGTGGCAGAGAATGAATGATAAACAAGTGTTTATATTTTAATGAAAAACCTTCAGCTTTTAAGTAGGTTAAATGCTTAGCTGCACTGAAATAAATAGAAGGTGAATGTCTAATTGTATCATGTTAGACTGTAAATCTTTATCTCTGTTTGCTTTATGGCTGGGTCAGTTGGCAGTTTGAGACTGTTAAATCTCACAGAATTTCACAGTTGTGGGGTTATATGTCAGATCGAGGCGCTACAAGATTTAGGTCAAAAGCACTTATCTGAGAGTGATTTCTAAGCTTGCTTACATAAAGCTATGTTATCAGCCTTTTTATTATTTATAGGTATAGAGCAATATAGGACACTGAGAGGCAAGCATTCCACTGACAACTTTTTAGGAATCTCAGCGTTTGCTAATACACATCACACTTACTAGTGTAACATGTATTTCTTCTGTAATTGTGTGCCTTACAGAAATCTTCCTTCTCTGAGCTAGTCTGACCTTGGCAAGAGACTTTGACTTGTCATTTTTTGCAAGTCGTGACGGCAGAAAAGTAAAGGCCTGACCTTAATGTTTCTCCTGGGAGAATGTGAATATGATATAATGTAGAAGTGTGTTGACTTTTGAAAAGTTATATGCAACATGGATCTGATCTGCTAAGCAATGGAAAGGAAATCCTCACTTTCTGGAAATGGGTTCCTTTCTTTGGGTCTCTAGGGCTCCATGTAAGCTCCTGGGGGGAAGATGATGCCTTGTGAACCCAAGGGGTAAATCACTTCCTCTCCCCGGTGGAGTCAGGCCCTTTGTTTACAATCAGAAAATAAAAACAGAATGGCATGTAATTCAAATCTTACCTACCTCCAGAAGGATGGTCTCCCTTTTTCAGCTCCTCCCCAGAACAAAAGGAATGGCTTTGAGGGCTTTACCTGGTCAGGGAAGGGTCTCTCCTGGCC